CCGATTCCTCATAGACCGTGAGCTCAGGGCCTGTGGTCTGCCTTCTGCCCATTGCTCTTTGAACATTGATGGTCCTTCATGGTCAGATCCAGGACCTCCCCTTACACTCCACGCCCTTAAGTCCATCTTCCTTCTTGAAATTCTTCAACCCAACCTGCCACAATTCCTCTCCAGTCACATCGCCCGATTCCTCATAGACCGTGAGCTCGGGGCCCTGTGGTCTGCCTTCTGCCCATTGCTCTATGAACATTGATGGTCCTTCATGGTCAGATCCAGAATCTCCCCTTACACTCCACACCCTTAAGTACATCTTCCTTCTTTGCACCTGGGCCGTATCTTTTTCTGGTTTCTCCTGCAACCTCCCCGACCACTATTTCTTTAACTCTTGCCAGATATCGCTACAGCTAGGTCAGCTTGGAGAAGAATCTGAATACAGAAGCAGGCAGCAGCCCAGGGCAGAAGAAGACTGACCAGTGTCCTGAGCGTGTAGACTGTAGCTTGATTGGGGTGTAGGTGGAACCAGACATGATCTCAAATGCAAAGACCTGTAGCCAAAAGACATCGTGAAGGCTGTTTTGCAAACTGCCTGCTGTAACGAGAGCCAAAGTGTGTGCGTGCTGCAGCCATTCCCCTGGATTTCATTCCTGGCCCTGCCAGTTATGAGCTGACTGTAGGTAAGAAAGACAACCTCCCTCAGTTTCACTGATACAAAATGGGTGTAATAATACTATTTAGCTTGGAGGGTTGTGTGAAGGTTAAATGAACTAACCGAGGTACTCAATAACAGTTACCTCATATTATAATTTATTCGTACACTTACCAAATAAACACTGAATGCCAACTCTGTGTCAGGCGTATGCGGGATGCTGGGGATATAATGTAGAGCTACAGACACCATACCCACCCTCACGTAGCTTTCAGTGTAGCAGGGAGATAGCTGTTAGTAACACTCGTGCCTTTATTTACTTAAAGATTTTATTCAATTACTTTAGAGAGAGCGCGAGAGAGAGCACATGCACACATGGGGGGAAGGGCAGAGGGAGAGGGAGAGAATCCCAAGCAGATTCCGTGCTCAGTGCGATGTCCGACGCGGGGCTTGAACCCACAACCCTGAGATCATAACTTTAGCCAAAACCAAGAGTTGGATGTTTAACTCACTCAGGTGCCCCAATGCCTCTGTTTACTTAGATCAAGGGTACAGATAAGGCAGTGGTTAAGAGTTGAAGTTGGAGGGGTGCCTGGGTGGCTCAGTTAAGTGTCAGACTCTTGGGGCGCCTGGGTGGCTCAGTCATTAAGTGTCTGCCTTCGGCTCAGGTCATGATCCCGGGGTCCTGGGATCGAGCCCCGCATCGGGCTCTCTGCTCCGCGGGAAGCCTGCTTCTCCCTCTCCCACTCCCCCTGCTTGTGTTCTCTTTCTCACTGTATCTCTCTCTGTCAAATAAATAAATAAAATCTTTAAAAAAAAAAAAAAGAGTTGAAGTTGGAAAGACAGGATTTGTGAGATCTGAAGAATGCTGTGTTAGGATGTCACCACAGCATCCTAACTCAATTGGTCACCAAGTGACCAAAGTTCCACTAGGGAAGTAACACGAAGCTGCTGCTTTTGACGGGTGGCCTTGGGGCTGGAAGGGCAATACAGGGAGAAGCAACACCAGTCACCTGCTAGTTCTGCAACAGTCCTGGTGAGAATGACAAAGATCTGAACTAGTACTTTGGCCATGGAGGATGGACAGAAGAGTACTAAGGGATAGAATCATCATTACAATTTCCCAGGTTCTCCACTGGTTTCCTCTTCACCGAGAGTTCCCCCAAGTTCCAGAAGCTTCAGAGTTCAGCAGAACTCATAATAACTCTTCCCTCAACCGCAGTGGACAGACTCTTCCTCTTTCTGGGCCCCAGCTTTCCGCTGGCTTTCCTTCTGCCCTTGTCAGTGCTTTTGTGACCCTGAGCTGCCCCCTGGTGGACACTGGGAGTTCTCAACAGCATAGAACCTTTTCTGGGGTTCGCTCAACTCCTGGGACCCACCACTTGTCTGTCTAATTGAACCAGGGGGACACTTTACTTTGCACACACGGGAACTCTGTGCCTGGGTATAGGAAGATTAGGAAACATTAGATAAATCGGGTTAATATGTTAAGTACGATCACTCGAGTGGGATTAAGAAAGCACTCAGAGGCACCCGGTGTCTCTTGAAGGCAAACTGTCTACTTTCCCCCTTCCTCCTTTCAGTGGCCTCTCTGAAAAGATTTTTGAGGAGCCCAAGCAGAGGGGGCTTATTTGGTGTCCTCTGGGAATGTGGGCCCAGCATCACCAATGTTGTCAAAGCTTTTAACTTTTTAAGAGAAGCTGGAAAGCCCGACGATGACATGAACTATTCCAGTATTTTTAATGTTGTAATTTAAAATGTTCAGACAAGAAAAATTAACTCTATAGCCACCCGTTTTCAATTCACAATTGTGTAATTATGTAGTTCTGTGTGGTGGACTATCAGTTCCCAAATGCTAGACCTACAAATGATTAGCAGTAATTAGTGGCAAATTTTCCCTGATTTACAGTGAAATTAAAAAAGAAAGACAGTGAAATAGGTTTTTCCATACAGCTAAATCTATCTAATATAAAGGATGACTTTTTTCTCTCCTGTGATTGTATCCTTATATATTTTGTTAAAATAGTTTTGTTTTGCACGTACATATATGTTAAAGTATCTTTTATTTTACAAAATGTTGATTTTGCTTCTCATGTATTCAGTTGGCAAAATGAAGCGTTGGTGACTTAACATTGCCTGTTGTATTTAGCTCCATTTTATTTGTTATTTAAATTTAAATGACAGGGCATCCCTACTAAGATAAGGGTGACTTGATGAAAGTTTTTGAGCAGTATTTGTGCATAAAAAGGACTACCCCTCTGGGGTACCTGGGTGGCTCAGTTGGTCAAGTGTCCGACTCTTGATTTGGGCTCAGGTCATGATCTCAGGGTCATGGGATTGAGCCCCGCGCTGAGCTCTGTGCTCAGCATGGAGTCTACTTGAGATTCTCTCCCTCTCCCTCCCCCTTTGCCTCTCTCCCTGCTCACACTCTTTCTCTAAAATAAATAAAATCTTAAAAAAAAAGAAGAAAGGACTATGTCTTGACCTTATAGTTGATGTGGAAGATGCATTGGTTGGGGAGACACTTGAGGTCCAGGGTGTGACAGTCATAGGGTGTGACAACATAAAACAATTTTTACTTTTTTCCTTTGTTTTGTGACTGAGGACACGGAGACACACGAGGGGAAGAGATTTGTCCAAGGTCACCAGGGAATTAGTAGCAGAACCACGACGACAAGCCAGTTTGCTGATAGCAGATACACGTCCTTCCAACTGCTCTGTTCACTTCTGTGTCAGCCAGACAGAAGACCCGGGGACGGGGCTGAGCACAACAAGGTCTAGTCAAGGGATGACTTCAGGGTAGTAGAAAAGTGATCTGTGTAATTGTGCATTTCTACTGCATTTTGGACCCCTGTATCGTGCTCATTTCCTTTTGGGGTACAGAAGCTCACCTCTTATCTGCTACTGAGCTGACTTTCCGTTAGGATGTTTCTTTCATGAGTTGGGCCTTGGGCTTAAAAGCACCTTTCAGAAGCTCACTGATTGTGGTATTTGGCAATGTTAGAACATGAATTGATTAGCAAATGTACCACTCAGCTTTGTCACTCAGGTCTGCCTCAGCTGGTGCTTATTAACCCAAATCTGTGCTTCTTTAACTTTGTATTCCCATTGGTGAGTGTGTGTGTGTGTCTGTGTGTACGCACTATATTCCCAACTGGTAAATATATTTCACGGGGTGAAGAGTAGTGTATATTATCTTCCTCCCTGTCCCCTGGCAACTGCGGCTGGTGCCCAGGAGAGGTCTGACTTTGTTACCAAATCAAAGAATGACCGAATAAGCAGGAACAATAATTTTCCATAAATTGAGCCCCATCTCTGTGCCCAGTATTATTCTAAGTGCCTTTTTTTCTTTTAAGTCTCTAATTAAAGTCAGTGTGAGAACATTCAGTATCTCCCTACCATATGCCAAGGCTGTGTTAGTACTGGGGCTATGACTCGAATCGATTCCAGTGATGAGTGGAACCATGCACAGGGCTCTGGCAACCTGAACTTGGACGCCTCCCCTCACTTGGGCAGCCCCTCCCCGTGCCTGCGACACGTGGATTATGAACCATTAAGAAGAGAATGAGAGTTATCTAGTTGCAGCCAAGCAGTGCCGGCATCAGGGAAGGCTTGATAAAGTAAAAATTCAGTGATGGCACGAAGGGCAGACGGGTCAGCAGGCATCCAGCTGGGCAGAGAGGGGGAAAAAAGGGTTTGTGCAGAGGGACCAGTGAGGGCAGGGGCTCAGATGGAAGGAACAGAACACGAGGTATTGAAAACAGAAGAGAGGTCCAGAAGGAGGGGCCGAGTGGGCACAGGAAGGTGGGCTTCGGTCTTGCTGGTAGGCTCCCATTGTGCTTTGCAAAGCTCCTTCGAATACTTTCGAAATAAAAAGCGTCAAATCCAGTTAATTAAGTCATTTGTTACTTATATGTTATTTGTCTAAAATAGGTCTTTCCCACTGCACCGGGTTCCTTGAGTACAGGGGGCCATACATCATTGTCTCATCACCTAGGGCGACCCCAAATCCCTCCCATATGCCTATTTTGTCTTCAGTGAAATCCTGCCTTTCTATCCACCCGCACGCCAGACAGTTTCCTCCCTGACCTGAGTCTGCAATATTGTTTCCATGTTTTCCCTCGTTGGGTGGACACATCTGTATGCCAGGCAATCTAGGAAATCCCAAGAGCTTCCTCATGGATTTAGGCTTGGATTAAGCCTAGGCATGATGGAGACCAAAGATCTCACCTACAAAGCAATCCATTGCAATCTGGAAACACTTGAGCTTTAAGTGACAGGGTGAGGATTTTTCTCTTATGGGGGTTCCATTATACCTATATTGCAAAATCTGCCTTTGTGTTTCCCGTCTCAGCCTGTCTGCCAGGCAGCCTACCAGAACGACTTGGGTCAAGTGTGGCAGTGGGTGAGAGAAGACAGAGCCTATATCAACGTTCGAGATGGCTTGAATGGAGACACTCCCCTGATCTGTGCTTGTAGGCGAGGACACCTGAGAATCGTTTCCTTCCTTTTAAAAAGAAATGCTGATGTGAACCTCAAAAACCGGGTGAGGCCATGACACATGAGTGGGGAGGGTCACTGACCATGTTAACCCTTTCTCTTCACAGCAATGAAGTAGTGAATGCCATTCTCTTGTTGCTCTTAGCTCCTGATACCAACTTTTTTTTTTTTTTTTTGCCTTACTTTAGAGGGACAGACACATACTATTCTATTAGGCTAAAAAGCCAAATAAATCACAGTTCAGTCAGCAGGCATATTTTTTTTTAATAATTTTTTATTGTTATGTTAATCACCATACATCACATCACTAGTTTTTGACGTAGTGTTCCATGATTCATTGTTTGTGCATAACACCCAGTGCTCCACGCAGAACGTGCCCTCTTTAATACCCATCACCAGGCTAACCCATCCCCCCACCCCCCTCCCCTCTAGAACCCTCAGTTTGTTTTTCAGAGTCCATCGTCTCTCATGGTTCATCTCCCCTTCATTCTTCCCCTTCAGCAGGCATATTTTGTGGTAAATCATGTCCTCGTACTTCTGAGAAGAAAGGTCATTGTTCACTCATTTGACTAGTGAGAGCTTCTTCCTTTCTTTTCCTCCTCCTTCCCATGCTGTTCCCTGCCTTCCCGCTTCCCTCTTCAGCTGCTCCTCCTCACTATCACAGAAATAATGGGAAAGATTTCCTGGAAAAACATATTGACCTGCTGGTGTTATGTCATTAGGTTTTTGCCTACTGGGTCAATGTTCTCCAGAAGATCCTACAGTTTGCTTTTGGATTGAAGAATGCTAGTGAGACATTTAAGGACAAACAAGCCATGAACCAGAGGCTCCTTGAAGCCACACAGAAAGGCATAAAGATTGTATTTAAGATGCAGTGTTAGCTGATGGGATCTTCAGAATCAAGGAAGAGCAGAATACGTGTGTATTGCCGTGAGCATCCTTTCAGAACACCTTCCAACATCCAATGCCTGAATGTGTCTGCATCATAGCAACAAGCAACATTTAAAGTACACTGAGTAAATATAAAAAGTCATTACTTGTAATAATTATGTGTGCCCTGTTCCCACTCACATATATTCAGTGAGGAAAAGCAGCCTATAGGCCCCCCCTTGAACCCCTTCTGGTTCAAGACCAGCTCATTTGGAGCAATAATATGTGATCAGAAAATGGATTACTCCTGGACCTTCTTGTTTGTAGTTACTGTTTTTTTTTTTTCTGCCCTACGATCATGGAACATGGAGTACACATGGAGTAGTAGTTTTTTTTTTTTTTTTTTGCTCAGTTGGGTTTAAAAACAAGTCAGGCCTGCACTGAATCTCACAGATACAGCTTAGTGGAGTATGACACACTTTCCCTAGCTCACAGCTGAGGAACCAGGTGTGTGTGCTTGCGGTGAGTGGGAGTGACTAAGACAGATATCTGTGGGTTCATGACCTCTGTCGGGAGACATGCTTATTCGGAGGCTGCGGGCAGGAGATGTTGGTCAATGCAGGGATGGGCCCAAGAAGGGACAGAACCTGAGCCAGCCTGCTGGGATCCTCTGGTAATCATGAACATCTTGGGAAGGACTTGAGGGATATGTTAGAAAAATGAGATTTTATCACAAGAAGGGTTGGGTTTCCATTTTCTGTTTTTAAAATATTTTTAATGGTTTTTAAATGTTTAATCTTCTTAATTTCCCCCCAGTGCTAATCTTGGCACATTAATAATTTAACCAGTGCCTTCTCATTTCTTAAATCTATGTTTAGGACTTATTTTCAGAAGTACTAAATAAACAAAGGCCTTAAAATAAAACACACTGTTCTGCTGGCGATTCATACGCACACGCCTAATAGAGAACATCAATTCTATGGAAAGCAAATTAAATTAAAACATAAATACACCTTTTTTTTTTTTGGCTTGTCAAATTGACCAGGATTAAAAAAGGAAACCGAGTGTTGATCATGAAGGAAGTTTAAATCATTACGATTTTACCAGAGCACAATTTAACAATACAATATGAAAAGCATTCATACCTTTCACATCAGCAATTATACTTTTAGAAACTTTTGCTAAGGACAAATTTGGAAATGTTGACAAAGCTTTATGAGTGCAGATGTCCAAGCAGTATAATTTATAAAAATAAAAAGTTAAAATCTTGAAAAGTCCAACAGGTAGGGTTTGGTTAAATAAATTAGAATAGCTCCATTCAATAGGAAGCCATGCAGCTATTATAAAGCTGTTTAAAAGTTTTAAACGGCATGGAAAATGCACTAATTCTAAATGTGAGTTGAAAAAACAGATATGATTTTGCATATGCAGTATGATCCCACATTATAAAATTCTACATAATGCATTATATTTTATTTTATTTTAATATTTTATTTATTTATTTGACAGAGAGAGAGAGAGAAAGCGCAAGCAGGGGGAGCAGCAGAGGGATAGGGAGAAGCAAGCTCCCTGCTGAGCGGGGAGTCCAATGCGGGGCTCGATCCCAGGACCCTGGGATCATGACCTGAGCCAAAGGCAGACACTTAACCGACTGAGCCACCCAGGCGCCCCCACATAACGCATTTTAAAAGACTGGAAAACAATACAGCCAAAATGTCAACAATTATTTCTAGGCTATGATAATGGGTGATTTTAAATTCTGTCATTATATCCTTGTTTAGTTTACAAAATTTTTACAGAGAGCATATATACCTTGATATTAAAAAAACAAAAAGTATTCTTATTTAAGAACTGCTTCTCCCAAGTGGAAATTAACCTCTCTTTTCTCTCTGGCTTTCTCTCTCTTCCCATTGATTTGGTTGGTATTCCAATCATCATGGCCTGTTTTGCATTATATTTATTGTGCTTGTTTCTGTCTACCTTTGTTTGATTATGAGGCCATGAGGCTTTACATCCCCCCACAGCCCCTAGAAGCTGAAGTCTGTCACCTGATAAATAGTCACATTATTTGAAGAATTAAATTGACTTATTTCCATTCTTCCAGCACTGTGTGTATGCATGTAGGAACAGGGAAAATATGCCACGTGGTTAAGATTTTCCCAGAAACAAACCACAAAATGAATAATCGTATACCAGAGATGAGTCAGGGCTGACAAGAGCTTTTCACACTGAATTCCGTCCTGTGTTTCTATCTCAATGTATTTTTCCCCCCCAAAACTAACATGCGTGTGAGAATCCAACTTACTTTTAAAAAAATATTAATGTATAGATTTTGGAGAGAGACTGTGCGTGAGAGGGGGAGGGGCAGAAGGAGAGAGAGAGAGAGAGAGAGAACCTCAAGCAGACTTCCTGCGGAGCCCGCGTGGGGCTCCATCCCACAACCCTGAGATCATGACCTGAGCCGAAACCTAGTTGGTTGCTAACTGACTGAGCCACTCAGGCGCCCTGAGAATCTTTAGATTATACTGTGTTTGACATTCCCATCAAATGGAGAAGTGGTCTTATTAATCAGACACACTCCACAGAAAGAGTTGCCATGGGTACCATAAAAATAAAAAGCACAAACTAACCTTTTTTTTTTTAAATAATGTAGTTTTTTGTTTTTTGTTTTTTAAGTAAGCTCTACTGCCCAACATGGGGCTTGAACTCACAACCCTGAGATCAAAAGTCTACCAACTGAGCCAGCCAGGCGCCCCACAAACGAAACTTTTTGATATGGCGATCTGAAAATATGAAATTTGAAATAAATATTAATAAAGAATTTCTTTATTTTCTCTATTTTGTTTTCTTAATTTTCAGAAAGACAGAAACTGCTTGCATTACGCTGTGAAGAAAAAATTTACCTTCTTTGATTACCTACTCATCGTCCTCTTAATGCCTGTTCTGCTTATTGGGTATTTCCTCATGGTGAGTAACACCAGTGTGATCAAAGGGTAAACGGGGAGGAGAGCAACAGCATGACTCATCAAGTTTTGCTGGGCCAGTCAGATTTAGAGAAACAGTAACAAAATAAACCCCTGGTTCTTGTTCTGTGACTAACGTAACAACAACAACAACAAAAGAATAAGAAAAAGAAATAAAGTAACTATTTCTAAAAAAAAAAAAAAGACATTTCCCACATCCATTTAATGCTGGGATTGCAGGAAAGTGGGAAGAAAGGTAGCCAACTAGATTAATCCGTGGTAAAATCATCTGTGCCATGTTTATGTAGAAAAATAAGTTAATCTTGATTAAGAATCATCCAAAGAAAGCAGAAAAATCCCGAATATTAAAAAAAAATTCCCCTGCCATGTCTTTTCTCCTTTTTGGTCAAAAGAGCTTGTGTCTTTGTACACATCTTTGAGTTTCTGATTTTTCTGGACTGCCCTTGTTGCGTGTTAAAAAAACAGATCCCAAGAGATTTGCAGCCAGAAGTTGAGAAACACGGAACATCTTCATAGAGAATTTAAAGCCAACCTTTTACCTTGACAGAGTCGAATAACAAAAGATATAGTTGGTGTAGGAATGCATTCATTTTATGAGAAGATGAAGCTTGAGTTGGTTATTTTTGTTTTTTCAAATTGAGCGATAGCTTTGCACTGACTCATTCCCCTTTTCCCACCTTGTTCCCTGGAGTCCGGTTCCATCGTTGAGAGATGACTCAGCAGATGTGTCCTTAATCCAATTAAATGACCAATCTCCTTTCTCTCTGTAGCTAATAGACCATGCATGTTAGTTACTTTTGCTACTAGAGGCTTCAGAACAGAGTCTGCCAGTTGGAAGTGTAATTACCTCCTTGGGCATTTAAATGTCACAGAATTTGTGGAACTCTAATTAAATATGATCGTGCCGATTTTGATGCTTGGATTTTTGGGAAAAAGAAAACACAAGTCACTGATAAAACACATAATCTGCTTCTATCCTGGAAAAGTTCTTGAAAATTAATTGCGTATTTAGTACAGAGCTTTGGTATATTTGTAGTTTCGGGGTGGGCGAGGGACCTACCATTCATTTCCAAAACGATCACAAGGGTGATGAGCAAGACTCGTTCAGAATTTGTTGACACACAACCTTGCTTTCTAAGACTGTTGGAGGTTTAAAAGCTGGAGGCTTTGGCAAAAATACTGATGGTAATGAACGACCGCCTCTGATTGCGCAATTTATCCTACTTATTCATGGGGCCGGAAACTGCACATTTGTGACGCACAAGGTGTAAGAGAACATTTTAGAGGAAGGGACCAGAAAGGACTGTGTTACTTCAGAAAAAGGTAGGAGGAGACAGGCAGTTTCCACGTTGACGCGGGAGGGAATTACAAAGAAAGAAAGAAAGTGGGTGGGGCTTCCTGCAAGGCAAAACGGATGACCTTCAGGACTTGCCCACCTGTTCCCCTCGAGAGCTGTGCTCCCTAAAGCAATGGGATGTAGGGTGGATGCTCAAACTGTCCTGTGGTCAGAATCTCAGGGGACTGGGCAGGAAACGTGGATGTCTGAGGAGTCTTGTTCATTTCGTTCCTTTGTTCGCTCATTCAGCACATACTGTGGACCCACTCCGCGCGCACACACTGCTGGGTGGGAGGGATGCAGTGGGGAAGCAAACAGGTACAGTCCTTGTCCTCGAGAGAGTTAGAGAGTAGTGCAGAATGGGTCATTAATGAAATAACCACAGAAATGAATGTAAAATTATTACGAAGTAGGTGATACAGGGAGGTGATCTTCTCCCAGAAGAGAGAGATTTCACCCAGCCAGATAGGTCAGGGAAAGCCTCCTGGAGGAAGAGGGTCTTGGGCTGGGATATTAAAGATGGATTTACCAGGCAAAGAAGGGAGGTCTAACGTGGGGCCCCCGAATTTACATTTCCAATTTCCCGGGTGCTGATGCTGCTATCCCAGGACGGCACTCTGAGAATCCAGGCTTTACCTGACTGATACTGGAGGGGGCGGGGAGGTGGGGGAAATTTTAAGAAAGGTGCATAGACATATAGACGTGTTGGGGTTAAAATAAATCCTGTTCAGTAGAATAGTCTAGGCATAAGATGGAGAAAAATTTCATCAATGAACCTCTTCTGTACTTGCTGTTTGTGACAGGTGTCAAAGACCAAGCAGAATGAAGCTCTTGTCCAAATGTTGCTCAATGCTGGGGTCGATGTGAATGCCCAAGACTGTGTAAGTTTGTGTGTTTAGTCATTTTGAAAGAATATTCAAAATGGTTTTTGCAGGCAATGTCTTTGTCACCTACAAAGTTACTTGCTTTATTTTCCTAGACACTTCTACATTTTCCTTTGCTTTCTTTACATTCCATTGTCTTTCTTTCTTTTCATTTTCACTGCTAGTCAGGCAACCTTGAAGTCGTTTAGTTGCTGCCACTAAAGTCATGGGAATAAAATCTTTATTGGCGAGAGGACTTTTTTAATTTTTTGTTTATTTTTTAAGATTTTATTTATTTATTTGAGAGAGAGAGAATGAGAGCTAGAGAGCACGAGAGGGAAGAGGGTCAGAGGGAGAAGCAGGCTCCCCGCCTAGCAGGGAGCCTGACGCGGGACTCGATCCCGGGACTTGAGGACCATGACCTGAGCCGAAGGCAGTCGCCTAACCAACTGAGCCACCCAGGCGCCCAGGACATTTTTTTTAAAAGAACCGCTCCCCCTCTGGTGAGAAGCTATGAGAAATGAAGGCTCTGCTAAGAAACTTCCATCCTGCGTAGTTAAGACGCTGGAGGCTGATTGCCTACGTGTCAATCTAGGCTTGTCACTTTTTGTCTGTGTGTGTTGTGGCCAGGCATAAATTTACTGGACTCCCGGTTTTCTCACCTGTAAAGTGAGGATGTTGATAGCACCTATCTTGCAAGGCTGACTATGTAAAGCACTTAGCAGAGTGCCCGGCGCTTAGTAAGCTCAGCAAGTACCAGCCGCTGCAGCCAAGCTCCAAGCCCACCTGTAAGAGAGGCCCCATCTGTAAACTAGATCGGTAAGGATCAAGGTCACAGAGCCCAGGTTGTGCTGAGGGCAGTGACCGCCGAGCGGCAGCCCCTAACTTCTTCCTGTTTCTAAATATCAGGTTTTGTTTTCACCTTTCGCCCCTGCACACCTCTTCCTCGCTTAAATGATCACAAATGGATCAAATGTTTATTTGTGTGAACTTTTATTTGCTTCTATTGATTGGATAAAATTTTGGCTTCCCAATTCTGTCAATACAAAAAAAGTAGGCAAGTTGAAATTGCAGTCGAAAAGAACCAATATTTTCTTTGTGGCCCCTAATTCATTTTATGTTGTGTGTATCTGTGTGCGTGCGTGTGTGTTACCGTTTTGTTTTGTGTTGGAGAAAATGTGCGCATCGCTGTTTCTATTCATTATTTACATCGTCTTAGTTTTGGAGATATTGGTATTGTATGTTTAGATGGAGGTAGCTCCATGTGCCTGTGTGTGCATGTGTGTATGTGTGTATGTGTGTGGGGGGAGAACACAAGAGAATAAGTTTATGAAATGCATGTTTTTCCTTTTATTTAAAATAGGATTTTTGGATTAATTGGAGTAGATGACTACTGTGCTCCACCATTTCCATAGATAACTTTGAAATGTATTAAGATGTTATTAAAGATTAGGTAAAAGATTTGTTGAAGATTTTTCTTGGTCTTCTCATTTAAATTCAAAAGGTTGAGAACTTTGTGATCAAAATTGCTCTAGGATATCTTTCTCGTTCTCAATGTGTCTATAGCTGGATGATTACATTCCTGTGCACACTCGTGTGCACATATATGCACGCAGACACACTTTTCCTGCCATTTTTCTAAAACTGAATATTCAGATCGTTTTTCCACCTTAAGTGATGTGGTGCATTGTATTTTTAGGGAATTAGACTCTTTATTTCACATGGGAACGTTCAGAGCCTAATCTTCCACTTACCATCTCACCGCTTAATAAAAATAAGTAATCGCAACATTATTCGCTATGGTCTCAGAAGAGTTAATAAGGTCTGATAGTTTTTCGTCCACATACTAAAGCCACAGTTGCTTGGCTGCTTTTTGAAAAACAAAATCGGGGGGCACCAACACCTTAGCTATACATTTCTTGTCACTTGGAGTTAGTGTTTTAAATTAGTACCAACAGAGCAGATCCACTATTTTAGAACGCAGAATACAAGCTCCAGCAAACCCGTATGGGAGGCTTCTCCATAGAGCTGCACCGATCCTCTCACTGAGGATAGAACAGTATGAGCACAAGCCACCTTCTTCAGCTTGTGGGGATTTTAATCAACAACCACAGAGGATGATATTTGCAAAAAGGCCCATGTGGGGCCCCATTAGGAGAAAAGATGGCAAGATGATCAAGGGGGTCATTGCCCAGACATATGGGATCCTACCAAGAATCCCTGAGATAGTTCGGCAGTAGCGTTGTTTAAGTTGGGAACAGAAAATGAGAGAGGAAGATCTTAATGGCTTATAAGACATGAATTATATGCACGTTGAGGCAGGAAAGGCGTGTTAAGTACGAGAAATGTAGTTGTGCATAGATGGTTTGCAGACTGGTTTGCTTAGTTGTAGGCTGTGAGATGTGACACGACACCCGCTAGGGTCCGTGGAGCGCGCCGATGAGCCGCAGTGTCTGTCTTCTGTTTCAGGATGGCTGCACGGCGCTCCATTACGCTTGCCAAATGAAAAACCAGACCCTCATTCCTCTGCTGCTGGAAGCTCGTGCCGACCCAATGATCAAGAACAAGGTAAGCATCTGTGGGCCGTTGTCCGAAGTCTCTTCCAGCAGCAGCATCTTCTGATTTCGACTTTGTATTGAAGTGAATTAATTGCCTCTGATGTTGTTAACAGCAAAACTAATTGTCCTCATTAAGCAATTAAGTTATCCTATTACTGTGGGAGCCGAATGACATTTAAAGCCCTTACCAAGCCTGTGAGTCAGTCAGTCTGGACTCTTTGATAGACCTTTTGCTTTGATGTTGGACTGTATCGGAGATAAATAACTCTAGTTTCTTTTTCTCCTCAGCGTGGTGAGAGTTCCCTGGATATTGCGCGGAGATTAAAGTTTTCCCAGATTGAATTAATGCTAAGGAAAGCATCATAATCTTTGTGGCCTTGCATGGAGAAGTAGAAAAAATTAAAGGACTGGATTCTATCTCCATTTTGGACAATTGGTCTGTGGACCGTTGAACCTGGATGCTATGATTTTTTGGTAACCATAATGGTGGTTTCCATAGTTAACATTCTGGAAGAGCTTTGTATTTAGAATTTTCTTTGGAGTTCATCATGGTCACGATCCTTCTAGGAGAAACACTAAAGCTCTTGGAGCCTCCATTTTGGTCCAGAAAAAGGTGACGTTTCAAATTCAGTCTCTTCCGAAGAAGAGGATCAGAGTTACCTGATTTGGTTTTCTCAGCTGTGTGGCTCTTAACAAGAGGCTGTCCTGTGGATACCATGCCCAGAAGACAACTCTTTCTCTCCGTCCTTTTTGAGTAGTAAGAGGAAGATTCAAAGTATCCATATTTGTACAGACTGATATGTTAGGGGGATGGGAGGTGAGCTTCATATGTAAATATTTACTTGGTGAAACAACGTCAATAAAATCATCCATCAGTCGTCAGGGGAGGGAGTATTTATGCCACAGTAATTAGCAAATGCTACAAGTCAGGGCTTTTTCTTTTTCTTTCCAGAGAGCCAATTTCTTTCTTTTTTTTTTTTTTTAATTTATTTGAGAGAGAGAGAGAGAACAGCCAGAGGGAGGGGCAGAGGAAGAGGGAGAAGCAGATGCCCCGCTGAGCAAGGAGCCCGATGCGGGACTCAATCCCAGGACCCTGAGATCATGACCTGAGCCGAAGGCAGACACTTAACCTACTGAGCCACCCACGCATCCCTCCAGAGAGCCAATTTAACCAGCATACCTCTAGACATTTTGCTTTTGACTTTGAACAAAATTACGAAACAATCAAGATGTTTGTTCAAAAATACCTTTCTGATTCTCTTGTGAATGCAAGGTAGCTACTAAGGTTGTTCATTCTGTTTATATTCATTGGTAAAATTTAAAATAGTATTGTTAATTGTTAGACAAAGGCTTTCTTTTTTTTATTATGTTATGTTAATCACCATACATCACATCGTTAGTTTTTGATGCAGTGTTCCATGATTCATTGTTTGTGCATAACACCCAGTGCTCCACGCAGAATGTGCCCTCTTTAATACCCATCACCAGGCTAACCCAGCCCCTCACCCCCTCCCCTCTAGAGCCCTCAGTTTGTTTTTAGAATCCATCTAGACAAAGGATTTCTTTACAAGAAATAGAGCAATAGGACGTGGTGGTATCTGGATTATACTTCTAGAGGAGAGAGAGAATATAAAAATATTTCTCAAGTCCTTTGTCAATGAGACAGAATAGAAATAAACACATTTAAAGATGGTTGAATTTTGCAAAGCAAGACTGAGTCAATAATATCTTCAGACACGGACTAAGCCACACTATATGTGGTAACAAATAAACAGTCTAAGAAAGAATGATTTACCGTCCTTGAACAGAATAAGGGTTTAATGAAAATCCAATCCAGGAGTATTTCTTGAACTACGTAGAGAACCTTACAGTACATGTTTTGTGAGGGAAGTAGTAGAGTGTATATATAGATTCTGAAGCCTTTAAGTGTCTCTTAAATTATTTAAAACACATTTGCATTGAATGAAGTTAGCAGGTGACTCTGGGGGATTGAATAAACAAGCGAACTTCACGCATCAGTATACCTTCAATCTGGTTTGCAAAATTACACTCTCACTCATGTAATTTATAACTGTCATCTTTGAAACTGTGTGAACTGTGAACATTTTTCTAAAGAAATAAATCCAGATTTGTGGATGAGTTTGGGTACTTGTCAAGATCAAGGGACAGAATACATGACAGTTTGTGTCATCATGCTCATGACTTTCTAAAGCTTTCTTCCCAGTTTTTAATTTTTGAAGGGGGAAAACGGGGCCAGACATTGGTAGCCTCAGGCAGTAAGCTCTCATATGAACTTGGACTTGGCACTAGGTACTGAAAGATAGACGTGCTCCATGCAGGGCATAACGTACTTACTGGAAAAGTGACTAAATATCTTACCAAATTATTTCCTCTGAGACTCAACTATAAAACTTGGCCCTTTTTAATGATGCTTAAAATATATTTTGTCCATACTGTTCTTTTTCCATCTCTCTCTCTCTCTCTCTTTCTTTCCTAAAACAGCTCAGCTTCCTGAGGTAGCGTGATGTCTCTATGGCAATAAGGTGAAAATGTCTAGCTTATTTTGTCGTAGTTACAACAATGCAGAGATTCAAGACCTCTGTCGCTGTCCCCATCCATCATTTTACTTGACTGTTCCAAAAATATGGCTTCTAGAAAAAAAGTTAACATTGTAAAGGGGTCTACCTGAATGATATAAAGAGTCCTAGTTAATTTCTGGCTGTCAGGTAAAACCTGCTCTTCAGGATGGCAGAATATGTAACACGTGAAACCTATGTTCACCCAATGAGTATTTTAATTAGCTAAAAAAAATTTAAATGTCCGTTTTAGTGTCAAATACAGGAGCTCTGAAAGAATGTGTATTATATCTCTGCCCTCCCTTCCCCACCCCCTTGTACTGATATGGGAGGTTTCCAGTTTCTGGAAATCCTGAAAAATCCTAAGACTCATCAGTATCGGATGCTTCACAGCCTGATCTCGCACTTTCCCTGGGAGAAGCTGGTCTCCTCCTGCTTCATGAGATGTATGATCTCATTGTACATACGGTGAGGAGCATCCAAGCCCCAGATGAAATCCACATGTGCCCACTCAGGAATGTTCTTATGGTAGATGAGATTGGTCACCTCGGAGAGCAGCATCTTCACGTCCTCTGGATTTGAAAGCCAGTCCTGACCTCCAGTCCACACTGCGGTGGGGACCATCATATCTCTGACCTTGTACCTTACGGGAGTTGGCTAGAAAAAAGGAATCATTTTTAACTGTCAGTAGCATTTGGATTTCCAAACTCATGATTCATATTTCAAGTCAACAGAGTCAAAATATGTCATGTGTTGTGAAGAAAGGTGCACAGGCACCACAGCCAAACAGGACCCCATCCAGAGTTGTCTGTTCAGCCCCTACTTGAAGGTACAGTCGGTAAGCCTCAGTTTCTTCATCTGGGAAATGCGGATGATGCTTGTAACAACTTACGAGGCCAAGTGACAAACCATGTAAGTGGCTTTCCACCTTGAGCATAAATTTTCAATTCTTTTTCTCCCTATTAGTAAATATTTAAAACATACGTTGCCTTTGGAAGATAATGTTCCTGTCCTTTTAAAGGCTGATTTCACAAATTTCATGAGGCCAGAGGGAGAGAGATTCTCGAGAGAAAGGCAAGAGATTGGAGTCCCCTGAGAAAGGTAGCTGGGTCTTCACAGAGACTTTCTAGGAGAACAGAAAGGCCTTGAGGCAGTCCAAGTTCAAAACCTGGGGAAGTCAGAGGCCCTAGAACTCGGGTCATTTGAGCCGGGGGGTGGGGGTGGGGTGGGGAGGGGTAACAATTAGACCCCTGTTCCAGTCCCCCATCATCCGAAGAAAGGCATCTAGGATTCGGAACTGACGATCTCCCTTATTCAAGCAGTGCTTCTAGATCAGACTGGCTGGCTGAGCCCTGAGGTTAATCAAGCACCTAGAACTTTCCACAGCAATGTTGAGCCCCGATTCTTCTCAAAAAATCCACTGTGGAGCCAAGGCTTCAACCCAGGAGTCTTGGTTGATTCTGTGGCTTTCTAAGAATTTAGAATTCTAGCCTGAGACTGTGATTTACAATAAGGAGAAATGGGTCTTCATCCCCATTTCTGGCACAGACCTCCTCTTTACCCTTGGAACTTACTCAGTGACAAGAACCAATAAAGTGTCTTTTGTTAAGTTAAAGAGGTGACTTTTGGACCTGACTGAAGGATGGGGTCTGGTCGCCAGTGGAGCCAAGCCTGTGATTAGAGGGTTGGAACTTTCAGTGCTGCCCCCGACCTCCAGGGAGGTGAGGGGGCTGGAGATTGAGTTCAGTCGCCGATGGCCAACAATTGAATCAATCATGCCTATGTGATGAAGCCCATAAAAACCCTAAACAAGGTTGGGGAGCTTCCAGGCTGGTGAACACGTGGAGATTTGGAGAAAGCGGTTGGCTAGGAGAGAGCTGGAAGCTCCTTGACCTTCACCCATACACTTCCCTCTGCATCTCTTCCTTCTGGCTGTTCCTGAGTTACAGTCTTTTGTAATAATGGATGATCTAGTAAGTAAAATGTCTGAGTTCTGTGAGCCAATCTGGCAAATTAATAGAACCCAAGGAGAGGGCTGTTAGAATCTTTGAGTATAGCCAGTGGGTCCAGAAGCATAGGAAGGACCTGGGCTTGAGATTGGCATATGAACTGGAGGGCAGTCTTAGCGAACCAAGCCCTTACTCTGATGCCATCTCCAGATAGTGTCAGAATCGAGTTAGATCGTAGGATGCCCAGCTGGGGTCTGGAGACCTGCCTGTTGGTGGTGGGGAATCTCCCTGTGCCCACACACACATAGGAAGTTGGTGATCAGAGTTACCTTTCATGGTCTAACTTAGATAGGAAAGGTTGGAATATTCTACGGCGCCAGTCATGTATTTTTCTCATTTTACAGGTGAACTGAATTCAGGTCTAACTCTAAGGAGCTGTGATTCTAGAATGCCTTTTTTGCCTGCGTGTTTTCTTTTTCTTTCCTGCGGCCTACGTTGCCTGAGCTGCTTTCTCTAGAATTTAAAACATTAATACCGATAAATTAAAACCATCTTGGAGCCGGAATGTTTTCTCCAAAGACATGTATTAGGAAACATTGAAGAAGGACCTAATAAAAAGTAGGTGATGCCCGTGACCTAGAGTTTGTTGGTCAGGGCACTCCCCAGTCTGTCTGATTTCCTAGGCTTTTATATCTAGACTGATGTACTGGAGTGGATGTTACATATGATCCAAGACTCTCAGGGGTTGGCCTCTGTTTGTCGGGCTCCCTCTGGCTTTATGTTTGTATGGTCAGTATTTGTTTGTATTCATATACAAGCTAACGAATAATCTTCAGTGGGG